GCATGTTCATGTCTTTGTAAATCAGGCTGATTGGAGACTTGTCCTGAATTTCTGCTCAATCAGGGAGTGTTACCTACAGTTTGGATGGTTTAGATAATCTGGCCAAACCGTTGGCTTCTTTACGACCTGTCTTATCATCTGACTACCCTTGTTTCTCGTCCTGTCAGACTTAATTGTAGCTATGTTGCTATGCTCCCGGGATTCAACAGGCACTTTAGTTTTCACACAGTTATTTTAACAGATAGAAATGGGAGCCAACACTAACTGGAGGCTTTCTGCCCATCGCATACTGAGAATACTTCAAGCCTCTAGTGGCCCTAAAGAAAACTAATGAGTGACAGTACATTTAATAACATGTTATCACTTATTTAATTATCTTTGATGTGTGTCTTGAAATTAGCAGCTAGTATAATAATCCTCATCCTACTTGACAGCCAGATGTTGTGTGTGACGCCGTTCATGCTCAAGTGGTTGCGGAAGTAGTTTATTCGCTGTCACTGACTTGTTTTATTGTTTAGGGGCACGGTGAAATTAGTTAAATAAATTGAAATCAAATGACTTGAAATGTGCTCTGGCAATAAGCAGGGATGAAGAGGCATTCATTTTTTCGCAGGCTGCAACAAACCTCAGTGCACCTTTACTGGATGTAGGCCTGCACTGGCCTGAAGACACAGGAGACAGAAGTTTGCACACAGTACAGTAAGATAAAATAAACGAACATAGTCTCTGGCTGCAGCTAAAAAGAAATGACCACTACAGTGTATACATCCACATTTATACAGCTTTTTCTTCTCGGCTCCTTCCGCTTCTTTTTTCCTGGCCATTTCCGTACAGTACAAATATTTTCTTAACATATCCTTCCGTATCTGATCTTCTGTCAGTTTCTGTGAACGCTTCATGGCGTGTGTACCATGTGCAATTGCTGTTTATAGGACATTATGTGATTGGTGGTCTGAAGCGCAAAAAAAATACATTTGGATTATTTTTCCACATGGAGCACAAGCCCACACACAAACAGGCTGCACATGGTTACATAGACACATAGACGCACACACATACAGGTCCAAACTCCCCTGACACACACACATACACACAGACACACACACACACACACACAGACACATACAAGCACACTGAGCATTGTGTTCCAGGTTTTTATTTTGCACAGGGACATCTCTACTTTCAGTTCATTTCAGCAGAAAGAAACACAGCTGGAGCCTCTGGGACGCAAACAATGCCGTGGCAGTGACCATGCCAGACACACACACGCATACACACACACACATACACACACACACGCACATCCTTTCTGCAAGGTCCATGGACATCGTTCAATGACACTGTACAGCTACATTACGCAGTTTAAGAATCAGAGTGAATTTCTTTCAAGGCTCACCTTGTTCTTAGTGGTATTGTAGTTTCTCAACCTTTCTGTAGTCATGTGCTTCCACTCTGTCCCAAAAATATATAATTCTACTTCTCGAAAATGTCTAAAGTAAGTGTTTGAGCAGAGTAATCAATCGCTGTGTGTACTGTGTATTTTCTTCAGCGTTACCTCATGAACTTCAGTTGCACTGGACACAGAAAAGCTTCATATCTGAGTTGAGTTTTCTATGATAACCTGTGATATACCATGTTTGAATGCACAGAGCAGATACAATAAATACTGCACACAGTATGTTTAGTTGCATGTACCTATAGCTAAGAAATGTAAAATAACCAACAATCTTCAGTGGTATCCTTTGTCTGTTTACAAACTACAGAATTAGCTGAAATGCTACAACCTATTTCAACACATTTAGGAAAAGATACAAACTTGATTCGCACAACCACGTCTCTGACAGCAAATGAATACACCGCCATTAGGATTGTGGAGTTTAAGTAGGAGAATGTGAGCAATAGGGATAAAAACATCTGTATGTCCTTTTAAAGCGTGCAATTTTGATAAACACTTATTGTTCATGCAAACTGTGAGCTTACATATCAGACCTTGGTCACACAGTTCAAGTCTGACCCAAGAGTGTTATTCAAACTACAAAAAATTTTCCAGCCTATCCTTACAAAAACATCTTTGCAGTAACCTCATTTGACCCTCTTTGATAAATTTGTTGGTGAAAATTTCTGTGCAGACGTATTAAAGTATTTGACTGGAGTGGACACGATCTTGCTGAACCCTGGGTAACTCTCACTCTCCACAGATTCTTTGGCTTACACAGAGAGCATGACAACATCGTCGACGCGGATCCAACGGAGATCCATGGTGAGTAATTTTAATTGCTTTAACACATCCATCATCGTTTGTTTATTGGTTTTTCATGCTCTGATGCTTCTTAGTTTTCATTAAAAATGTCTGAAAGAGAAATAAGTTCAGTCTTTAAATCTCAGCTGAAATGTTTGATATTTACAGGTGGCATCTGTGGTTTGGGTCCAACTCATTAGCAGGCTGATGTCAAGGGGCAGCGTTTGGTGCTGTTTCTTAAATGGAATGTGTGAGGTCTTTTGGCTAAAAATGTCCAAAATATATAACACTTGCCTCAGCGAGTGAATAGGGAGAAGCCAATGAAGCATAACACACACACACACACACACACACTCACTCACACACACACACACACACACACACACACACACACACACACACACATCCTCTACCCTGGAGGACTATACTGGCCAACACTTGATGATGAATCTATCCCCTGCTAGGACAGTGATTGTGGTCTAACACTGGATAAGATACAAGTTGTGTTGCACAGCCTCAGCACTGGGATTGCTGAGAGGAGAATTGATGCTGCCCTGCAGAATAATGTGGAAGCAACAATCTATCAGTCAGCATCAGCTGTCAACATATTATCAGCCAAAATGTTTATTGAACTCCTATAAAATTTCAAGAAAGATGTGGGAGCCGGACAAAAATTACTTCTGTATAGTTAAATTTTCACCCCAAAAAAAAGAAAAAAAGAAGGGTTGTGTGCTTTTGTGTTGTACTGCTCTAAATCGAGGGCTTCACCATGAACGTTATGTGAAACTAGATTGCAATACAGTACACGAGCAAGCAATTTTTTCTTATTGTCAACAAATCAAACAATTAAACGACTATTTGTGCATTTTGCATTTACATGAGAAGATTTTATAATACGTCCTCTGAGCAGCGCTATGTTCACGGCAGATTTGGGGCTACAGGATGGGCCGGGGCTAGCTAGTTAGCATGCTAACTTCCGTAGACGTAAAGACGTGATAGAGTGAGTAAACATAAAGAGTAAACGTCAAGAGTTAACATTGGCGTTTCTTTCCACTGCTGGAGACAGCTCTTGGTGAGTAAATTAACAAAGTTTGTTGTTGAACTCACAACGTTTCTTCAAGACTGCTTCACAACAGCTGTTAATGCTAACGTTTGCGATGTACCAATAGCAAAACTTACAAATAGCTCCTTTGATTGATCAGACAAATAAAATATTGCCTCCATCTAAAGCCTGACCGAGCTTGTTCCTCTGTGCTACTGACATCCACTGTTGTTCAAATATTATTTGCATACATCAAGGAGCTACACAGTTGAACTTAGTGCCATGTATTTTATTTCGAGTAAATCCCACATTAACCATCCTGCTGCCGTAAATACTGTAGCACACAAAGTCTGCAGCTGAAAATAGTCTCCAACAAAAACACTATTTACTCCTGTTTGATTAACATTTGCTGAAAGCTACAGCGGCCAACTGTTTTAGGAAATTATTTATTACGAAATGTATTTAAAAGATGAAACTATACATGGCACAAACAGGGTAGGAAAGTTAGTCTCTTGGTATTACGAGACTTTCATGCAATTTGTTGACAATAACAAATATATAGCACATCACCAGCCTTATCCTTTGTAGTTTTCTACTATGTGGCGAGTGATTTAGTCATTTAAATTGTTAAATAAATTTTGATAGGTTCATGTGCACTTTCCAGCTACCATTACTAAAACTTTACATTTGCAGATGTTAAATTATAAGAAAATTATGGTAGATTTTCATTGCACTATATTGACATCTTCAGCATGAGCAAGAAACTTAACCACATACTTATCTTCACATCCTTGCTCCCTGACATTTATTAAATTTCATTAGGAAGAAAAAGCAATAAATATTGAGTTATGACCGTTGGTAAATACAGTAAATAATTTGAGCTGATGCTCATTTAATATTTACAACTTAGAGTGGCTCTACATTATTTGGCAAATGACTTGGAAATTGCTAAATAAATGATGATAAGTTCAAGTACACCTTCCAGTTACTGTACTTAAAACTCTTCTTGTGCTCATACTCGTGTGTTTATCTTCTTCACTGTGCTGTTATATTATTCATAGGTAACAAAATGTAACCTATCATCCGAGACAGATGGTGTGGCATATGTTTCTCTGCCCGACTGCCTCTTTGTAGTACACTCACCCACACGCACACTCGTACTCGTACACACACACACACAGACAAAACCTACAGCGTGGATTCCTGGTGTACCTCAGCATCCCAGTAAGCCCATAATAAGAATGAGAGTGACATTGTTAGGATTAACATAGCGGCGGTGTGGAGATACAGATGGGGCCTCAGCGTGTCTCTAATGAATGTGGTCTGTGGAGCCAGTAGATCTGTCTTCTGTATGTGCAGAGGTTTATACACTGCGGCTCCACTTATTGACTTGGCCTCAGTTCAGGTCCCACTAAGATAAGTGCCAGGTGATGACGTGAGGGCTCTGCGGGTGTGACACAGTTAGTTCTTAACCCTGTAGCTCCCAGCGAGCATGCTCCCTGTGTGTTTCTTTATAGTCCAGAGGGGGCCGGGAGCCAAGAGGTGACACATAGCCATGGTGAGGAGGGGCCAAACTGTAAATAACTGATGGAAAAAGATAGTCGAGATCCATAGAGGAGAAGGAGGAGTAGATGTTTCAGTGAACAGTTTTCTCCGTGAGTTTCTGTACATCCCCATTCAGCAGTGGAGAGAGTTATGATGGGGAGAAGACAGTGACGGCTACAGTAGTCCAGTCTGAAGATGGGTAGAGAGGAGTGGTAGCACAGAGACAGAGAGCAACCAGAAAGAAAGGCCCGACCACTTGCGTTCCCCAGAAGACCGTGTACCTCCAAAGTAAGCCACCTGGGCTGCAGAAAAAGAGGGAAAACAGAGGGCAGGGAAACGTTAGCCAACATCTGCGTCTTTATGGCTGAAAGAGAGCTCATTCACATGGGGGAGTTAGTCATGCAAGACAGTGGGGTGCAGAGAGGGGACACAGTCAGAGGAATGTTAGCACCTTTAAGCCTTTACTCAAAACCAGAGTAATTAAGGCAGCTTAAGGCATCTCGTTCTCTGGCAGTGCTTCCTTTGTTCTCCAGATTTTAGTAATCCAGCTAAGTCTACCCCGACTCTGCCAGGACCACTCACCCACACAGGCTGACCCATCATCGTTGGGCTCAAAGCCCTGGTTGCATCTCCTCTTGGCGCGGCACTTATAGTTGCCATAGGTGTTGGTGCAGACGGGGCGGTCAGAGGGGCACACAGAGGGGAACTGGGTACACTCATCTTTGTCTGAGGGAGGGGGAGGTAAACTTGATTTTAAACGAGGGCACAAGCATAGAGTGGTGGACAGGTTGATGAATCTTTTCAACTTACCAGTGCAGCGGCCATTCTCATTCAACGCAAAGCCATCACCACACTGCAAGAAACAGTCAGTCCAATCAGAAACAAGAATAGCTCTAAACCGAACATTAAAATTCTTTAAAGCTGATAAAAGACGTATCATGTCAGTTGATATTGTGCTTTAGTGGGGCTCCTGCTCCTGAGCTTTTTTGATGTTACCACTGGGAGCACCAAAGAAGGTCATTTTGAAACTCTGCGCATATTGGCGAATCTACAAAGCCTAATGATCCTTGACGAGATTTTAGGATTTTAGTGTGAATTACTGCTGTACCTCTATCTCCACAGTAGGAGTGACGTCCTCCTCGTCCCTTGGATAGTCGATCTCCAGCACTGTGTTGATCTCCGAAGGTTCCAGGGGTCGGGCCACTGACCGACCATCTGGCCAGTACACCTCGACATTGGTTGCTACATCCTTACCTGGTCAGACACACACACAAAGGCACAACACACACAAACAAATGTTCATTTGACTATAACTTAGCGTTGAAGGCTCATACAGTACACTACAAACTGTAGGTTGTCATGGGTTGTTCTCATTGAGTTTCCTCCTTCCTCTGTTTTTCACTGACACACACACACACACATAGTGAGAGACAGAGTGGCACCCTCCTCTTCTCTCTCCATTAACTATTTTAATCAGGCATAGAGAGCCCCTCTCCAGAGGGCCTCTGCAGCCCTTAATTAAAGTGGCATTTTTAATGCAAACAGATCTTGAGTTACCGAGCCAGACAGCGATCCACTCAGCAGGTGTGCTGCCTGAGAGCCAAAGGATATTTCACCTGCTCTGCTCCCACATGACACCCTCTCATTTAGTGGTGGGGAGTGCATTTCACAAAGTAGTGACGCATTTTGCAAGTGTGGAGGTCTGCTCTGAAGCCACCGTGGTGTGGAAAGTTTGCTCTTAGCGTGTGTTCTGAGTAATCAGGCATTAGAACTGAGGGCCTCCAGAGTTGATCTGTGCTTGTACAGTCCTGATACTGAACAGGCTCAGTGAGCAGGGCCAGGGAGCAGCAGTGGGTGGGCTACCAGGCCTGGATGACCACCAGAAGACTGTCCTAGGCGGGGGGCAGGAAGAGACAGGGAGCCGGCTCCTCACAAACCGGGCTGGCTTCCAGCTGCAACACCTGTCCCCCATCTCTTCCCTCTTTGTCCACCCAGCTCCCACCCACAGACATCGCACTCTCCCATGGATTCCTAATCAGGCTGAAGGTATTAAAACAATGCTTTCATTTTCCTTCTTACTGCTGCTCTCTGTAATGCTGATTGTGTCAGTTTCTCTGTCTGTCTCAGTGTCTGTCTATCTGTTAGCAGAGAGTAAAGCTGAAACAATTTACTAAAGTATGTTCACATTCATCCTCTACAATGTGAAGATTTGTTGTAAATTAAATTCCTTTGGGTTTCTGGCTTTGAGTCAGATAAAACAAGAAATCTAAAGACGTCACCATGACCTATTTTTTCACTGCTTTTGAAACCCTCGATTTTTATTTCATAGACAAAACAATTAACCAATTAATCACCAAAATAATCAACAGATTAACTCCAGTCAGCGCAAGCTGGATCCCTGCAACAATTGTGTGTCAGCGTTACCAAGGCCAAAGTGGGCGACAGGCTCCATCTCACACAGGTATCCCGAGCCACCATCGATGATCCGTGTGTGTGGGCCGGTCTTTTTTGTGTACACCACCACTTTAGCTCCTCTGGCGAATGCACCAAACTTGGTCCGTGGAATCACCCGCAGCCATGAGTTAGTGGTGCCCTAAGACACAAGACAGAATAAGAAAAATGTGGGTTTCTGTTCAGATCACACTACCTAGAGTGTCAGACTGATTCGGAGGCTTTTAAGATGTCTGACACTCACCTGGTTGACTTTATAGACAGAAAGCGGCTGTGCTGCACTTTCACCGTGAGACACCAGCAGTTCCAGACGCCCATCACCATCAAAGTCTGTGGCTACAGCTCCTGGATATCCATCACAGTAATGATGCACTTCAGGAAACAGCCTACATAACATTTATCTTCCTCATGCAGGGAAACATAGGCATTGTGTTTCAGCAGTCATAGAGCTAATTATGTAGAACACATCTTTTTTTTTTCTTTTATAAAGCTCATGAGGAAATTCTGATCCCTAGTGGAGCTCTGGTGCCATCTAATGGAAAGATGTTGGAATATCAGACATGAAGCTTGTTCTTGCACTGTGTCCCATCGCTCATGCTGAGTTGTTGGACACCTGTTTGTTCTGCCACACTCACCGGTTCCTCGTCCTTCAGGCTCTGATGCCTCCCCAACATTCAGCTCTTCTATCTGGGGGTCTCCATGCTCTCTCCTGCTCACCCTGTCAAATCACAACATCACAGCAATTACCCAGCAATCACTGTAAAACATTGATACCATAGCCACTACAAATATATAAGCTCAATTAAGTTCAATTTTGAGGTTCTCATTTTACTTTATATGTCTACTTCACTACATTTCAAAGAGGAATGTTTGACTTTTTACTCCACCACATTTATTTGGCAACACAGTTATTTGTTACTAATGTAACTAATCATTATAGTTTTATAGTTATTAACTGTATGATAGCTATATTAATGTAATTAATGTGTTTGTAAACAGCTAAAAATCCAACCTCCTCCTCCTCCTCCTGTAGGCACCTGTAAGAAGAGGCTGGTGTATAAACAGACAATGAATAATAATGTAGTAAATCACAGCAGCAATAATATACAATATGTCTTTATAGGAGATGCTATAATTGTTGACAAGTGCTATATATAAAGGACAACTTAAAAATGCCTCCAATTACATTATAGAGTGTTATAAAGCATTCATGACATGTTTATATACTGTTTATAAATGCCAAAGGACTTAAAGTGTTAGCGATAAAATGAGTTCCCCTCAACCAGCTCCAGCATTAAAATGTTGCTTACATGTTAACGCATCAGAGCTAATACTCCAATATTATTATATATAACATGAAAGAGGGACCAGTCAGCTTTTACTTGTGACGCTGAACTTAAATAAATTTTGCTGACAATACTTTTTTTTATTTGACTTGTAATGGAGTTTTTGCTATGTGACATTGCGACTTCACAATTGAATAATATTTTCAAAGCCCGTCCTTGCTATATACATGACCAGCTGCCATGTACCTGAAGTGATAAAGCATTTCCAACTTTCCTTAAGTTATAATTTCATTTCACAGTGCACTGATGTGCTGATCCTGGCTGTTAAACCCCACAGCTCAGCTAAATATTGATTAGTTGTATTGAATTAATTAGCTTGGGCACAATAGTTTGAGCTTTTCTTCAGTGCCAGAGAGCAGCGTTAAATTAGCTGATTCATCTCCATACTACACAATGGAGCAGAGCCACGGGCTGTAGAGCAGTGACCCCTGTCAGACCATCATCGTGTCCAGAAAGACAAAATATGTCCTCCAACGACCTGACATGCAGGAATACTCTGATCCAGGAAATCTTTGGGGCTTACACTGATTATTGATATTCAGTTTGAACTGACCCACCAGCTCATGGCAAAATTCATCATGATTGCTGCATCCTGTTCAGAAAAATATGCCAGATCAGATTTTTATTCAGACAGGATGAGTTTATTCTACTGTTAAGTCCTTACAATTGATATGTATCATATATTGCATTTTGAGAGCTGAGTTCATTAATATTATCTAGAGAGGAAGCCAAACCGTGAGCCAAAAAGAGACCTAAAACTGTCTTAATGAAAGATTCATTCATGTGTGGAGGAGGAGGCGGGATGCCAGACTAGATAAGTATCCTTGGCTGGGATTTTTAAATTCTTCTCAGCTTCTGAGCCCAGTTTTAGAATATTAAATCAAGATGCAAGAGTAGTCCATTAAGCTAATCATCAAAGTGCTATTAAAACTTACTGCCGTATATTGCCATACGTACAACATGTGTGTATGTAAGTGTGAGTGTGTGTGTGTGTGTGTCTGTGTTATATCCGTGTGAGTACCTGAAGAGCCTGTTGGCGGAGGGGCCCCTGTAGGCGATGTTATTGAAGAAGACCTCCAGCTCGTTGTCGTTGTCAAAGTCTGCAACGATAACGGTGCGAACCGGGGACGGCATGGCAAACTTCTGGGATGCTATGTCCTGAGAAAAACAAACGCACATGTACATCAGTGAAACACACACACACACACGCAGGAAGTTTTTTTTTTCTGTGTTTGATATGTTTTTTTATAAGGTGAGAACAAATCAGAAAATGCAGCAACAGTGACCACAGAACACACTGAACCAGATATAACCAAATTCTGATCACGGACCGGACGTGCTCTGAGTTGCTCTGCAGTGAATTGATTCACAAAATGTGTCTTTATTGCCATGCTCATCACGTATTTGTGCATAGGGACAGTTACATCACATCTGCAACTGCTTGGTTTTGTCACATAATTCATAAATTCTCCTCTTTTTCCTTTTTCAGTGAATTCTGCTCTAATTTAACTATCTGTAATTGTCTGTTTTTGGGTAGCAGCTAGGGTTAGGATTACTAATACATCCAACACTTTTATAAACAGAGTAAATGCTTTCTCACTCTATATGTTTATTTTAAATTCTATAAAATGTCATTCTAAAATGTGCTTGGTCTTTTATGGGAAACATATCGTTCACACCCAAAGTTCTGTTTGTCTTTATCTGATTTGTCAGCCACTGAGTAGTTAGAAGGTACATGTTGTTGTCTCTTGTACTACATTCTTGCAAAGAAATCTAAAAAAAGATGCAGTTTGACTGCCAAGTGAAGTGCACTGTACAAACACAACAGCGACTGTCATTTATCAGCAGAGAAACCGCAACCCCTCACACCCCAGAATTTTGAGGATTTTCACTTGAACTTTTCTACAACCTGTTTTTATTAAATTCTGCGTCCTGGATGTATTAAATTTAACATGTGGACAGATGGAGTGAGCCGAGCCAGTGGGTAGAAAGATGGTTCCATAACCTGGAACATAAGGTCACGGGTTCAATCTTCACAACAGACAACACGTCCATCAATAATCGGTGTCCAGTCCTTGAGTTAGACACTGATCTGTCATCTGTTCCCTCACTCACTGTAAGTCACCCTGGCAAAGAGTTTCATCTGAAGCCTAAAGATAAGAACAAAGACCCTTTTTACATCCTCTGGCAACAGAAAAGTAGACTGCAACTCTCCTGCCCGAAAAAGTCTCCTCAGCAGAGGAGTTTTTGCACGAGAAAGTAACAGATATCTCCTCGCTTCAGTGACACGGTGATAAGTCGGAGAAGAGTTATAGAGCAGCCCTTCACTCCCTCCAGTATTTACTCCCTGTTTTAATTATAAGGCTCATAAAGCTGCAGGGGGGGGCTGCCCACAGTGACCTTCTGCTTCTCAGGTGAAGGAGAGGGGATGGCCAACTAAGGCCATGAGGGAGAGGGAGAGAGGAACAGCTTTACATTTACTATACCATTAGGTGGATGGATAGATGTGCAATAAGGAAAAAGAAAAGGACTCTTACCAAAACAAAAATGAAGCACAGAAACGTGAGGCTTACAGATAAAGAGGGGTGCAACTTTGAGAAAGAAATTATTTGATCTATGATTTGATACACATAAAATATCTCAAAATGTAATGTAAACAAAATTAGAAATATTTGTATTCTTGAGTGTTCGCTCATTATGCTGAAAAAACAATAATGATATCAATAATTGGCTATAATTATAATTAAATAATCTTTTTAAACACCACCTCTCAATGACTTTATCTTCATTGATTATGAGCTCTGATTTTGGTAAACAACAACTAGGGAAACTTCTACGCAGGACTTTTTCCATCTCTTTAAATACATATTAGATATGTGGGTGTGTTTTTGCGTGTGAGTGTGTTAAACCTATTGCAAGGAAAACCTCGGCAATAGATTTTAATTAAAGCACAAACAGGCCTAATCGGCACTTTCCAATACCCAGGCAAGCTGCTGTTTCAGCCCAATTTAATTAGCGGTTTACTGGAGTGATACAACAGCTTCATTATGCATGCCAAAGGTCAATACAGGCGAGTGGGAGTGTCAGCTTGTGTGGGGGGGAGAAGGGTCTTAAATGTGTTTTGGGCTTGTGATTTAACAATCTTGGTTTAAAAAAAAAAAACTGGCTAGCTAATTCAATTTGTCTTGTGCGTGTTCATGTGTGTATTTGAGAGCATGTGTGTATGTGTGTGTGTCATGCTGATGGAATTGCCTCTGGGCTAACCATCACACATTAACCCCTTATGTGACCCCTATAAAGATGTCTACCGTGACGTTTATCTCTTTGGTAAAAGATGCAGTCGCAGGTGCTGACGCATAGATCACCAAGCAACAAAACCTCTGCAGATTTACACGCAGCAGAGGCCGTTTCCGTCTCTGCTGCTCTTAACTGTGCCACGCAGACACATGCACGCTTCTGGCTGTCTCACAGGAGTTGAGTGAAAAATTATAAATCACCACCCCTCTGTCTTTAAATGCCATTCAGTCCCAAAGTGAGTCTGCGGCGACTAGTGCTAATTCCCCACCCTCCTACAAGCATTGATAAGTCTGTGATTCAGAGTGTATGAGATTTGCTGTCTTTGTGCTGCCAGTTCATCAGACATTGATCTGGTCTGGGAGTAGAAAAAAGAACAACAACCTCACTCTGATTCAATCAGACTTCACCTGATGATTTCTTTTGTTTTTAGAACTGTCCAAAACCAAGAATCACATGTTGACCCTTTAATTGACCCCTATAAAGATGTCCCTGCTTTCTGAAGGGATTGGTCAGGTGTGAGGAGGCATGACGGTTAACATTTCTCTGAACCCCCACTTTCTCACTCTGCATACAACTACTTGTGTGTCCATATCCCCATTCACTGTGTCTTGCTTTTCTCTGTTTGCAGCTTACCTTTGAGTGCGAACATTTGGAACAGGTAAATACATATATAGCCTACACTGCATTTAAATGTGTAGAGTGTGCAAGTAGAGTTGTTAAATACCCAGGAACCACATTTGAACCCACCTTGAACTTCTGTTTGCGGTTATTCAGCTGCATGTAAAGGCGGTGAGGTCCATTCCAGTTCCCGTAGACGATGTCTGTCTTGCCGTCGCGGTTGAAGTCTGCCAGAGCAACCCCTCTGCCATGCTGCATGGGGTCCTCCACACCTGCAGTTATTTGGTAATACAATATTATAACAATGAAGACTACCTTGTGTATTGTTTTTGCACCAGCTTCATGTGACATGTTGAGACTTGACTGAGGTTAAGCTGCACTGTTTCTCTCACCAGCCTGCTGCGCCACATCCGTGAAAGTTCCATCTCCATTGTTCTTGAACAGGAAGTTGGGTCCGTACTCGTTGTCACAAAACACATCGGACAGCGTTTGACTGACGATGGGCCCCACCACTACACCTCGCCCTCCTGCACATAAAAGGGTAAGAAGACTTTTTTTTTTTCAAACTAAAAACTGAAGCAGGATGGGTGTAAAAAGACAGAGAACAGAAGGAGAGGGTGAACAAAACTGAACGGCAAGAGATCATTATTGTCTTTACAGGCAATGTCCTCTGAGCAGGGCAGATAAAGGCTCTGATGGGTTTCACACACACAAACACACAGATGAACACACCTAGGCACGAGCACAAACAAATACTAGAATGCAAAGGCGTAACACATGCTGGGAATCTTTTGCATTAACCAAAAGCTAACAGTAATTTTCTCCTTGTGAAAAGATCTTTGTGACTGTTCGATACAGTCAGTATCACCCCCGGATTTTCCAATGACATTGTATAAAGTGAAGTGTCACGCTAAAGTGTCTCATCTCAGACCAGCACAGTCTAATTATGGAGCTGAAAGGGCTTTGATTGCCCTTCCAGTATGCAGAGTCAGTGCTGTGAGTGAGAACTCGCTCCTGATTTACTGGCCCGCTCCATCAGCCCAGACAAATATCACTCGCCCCCTACGGCCATAAACCACTAACGTCTCTCCAGAGATATGTAACCATTAGATATACAACTTCACTGACTGTCCCTCTGCTCTGATTAACGGCAGTTTGATGACAAAGCCATCTACCGTACATCATTCACAGCGAATCTGAGCCAGCTCACTCTGCCCCCCTGGTGGCTTAAATGACTTCCTGCATGTAAAAAGATGATGAAGATTGATTCTGTTACACACGAACACAAAGTCATGTCCCACTTTAAAAGCTTACCTAGGCGTCAGCATCAAGGACTTTTCAGTTGTTACAACAAAGTATCATAGAGGCAGCATTTTTTATTACTCATGATGGTCTATGTAACAAATCATGTTGAAATAGTTTATTTTGGCATTTACTGTTCTCTTCTTCTTTGCCAAAACAGGTATCCATCACAGGGTTACATTGATCCAAGCCAATTTAAGTGCTTTTTTTCAAAGTAAAAAAAAAAATAAATTTCAAGGTCATCCATTCAGTTTCATAATCATTTAAATGCTGCAGTTCAATTAGCTCAATTCAGTTCAATTCAAATATTTAGCCTCCTATAAGAGGACATTCTTTTTTAAGCAAGGCAGTTTACAATATAAAAAGGCATTGCGTTAAAAGGCATGATACTTTACACACATTAAAAATACAGTAAAACGTCAACATGATTAAAAAACTGCCGCAAAGTCTAAGGACTAAGGTTAAGATGAATGGTATGTTTGAATTAGATGCATTTATTGCACGTGGAATTAATACAAATATCAACTTGTTACACCTCATTTCTTCAAGTCTGTGTCTCTGACTAGAAGACTAAGATGAATTCAGCCTGTTTGCCTTCATTCAATACCTGACAGGATAGACGGACAGGAAATGTCTGCACTATTTTGCACAAATCAGGGAGTAACACCATCAACTTCCAGTTAACCTCCACAGAAAATAAAGTCTGTCCGGTCTTTATTGGCATGTAACACTTGGATCAGACTGACTGTGACTGAGCTAATTGCACATAAAAGACAGTGCTAGTCGCATCCGCAGCCACTTGTATTCAAACTTTCAAAGTCTGGAGGAACCACACTAACCCGTGATAGATGCCATCTCTAGGCTGTTGAGCTGGTCTGATGTATGTATGTGCCGCCCTTCCCCTTCTCTTCCTTGTGACTTTGACTGGAGTAAACAGCTGACGGGGCCAAAAGAGCCCACTAACACTCCTCTCTCTCCAGTCCTTTCTATTTTCTCTCACGCTTACTCCCATCATGTTCTCTTTCTTCCTCTCGCTCTCTTTTTTTCTCGCCGGGCACCTCTCCAGCTCTCCTTTACTCTCCTCCTGTCTAGCACCCTCTCTGTACTAAAGTCCTATATTTCAGACTCTCTGGGTACAACGAGCACATGCTCCTCTGCAGATGTCTGTATAAATCAGACTGAAGGTCCAGTAGTGCTGGATGATCTTTCATCACACACACACACACACACACACGCACGCACGCACGCACAAACACACACACACACACACACCTACCTACCAGTGAACTTGTTGACTCCAGCCTCCTCCGCCACACTGGAGAGGGCAATGACGCCCTGCGAAAGGTCACTTGCTCCCTCGTCCATTTCTATGAGAGCATGAGGACCCACGTTGCCGCTGGCATAGTTAGCTATGTAGATAGCATAACGCCCTGTACCCTGGGAGGAAAGGCAAATATTGTTTTTATTTAATTTCAGTTGTTTTGTTTTTTTTGATACAGACATGATACATGCTTTTTCCTGTAGGCTCAGAAAAAGCTACGCTGTTAGTGAAAGATCAGCTCAAGAAAAAGTCTTCACTGCACATCCTTTATTCCAAAGTGCCCCTGCTTTCTTTGCAAGTTATTACACTTGTTGCATGAAGTTCATCATGGTGTCCTGAACTTTGCAGCACACCTACAGGTTTGAGTGTGTCGCCGACACAATGATTTACATTTGATTTACTGATATCGCCAAAGCAGAGCCATAAGAAACCACATGTGTAGTGACATGTGAATTGACAAAGCTTTTGATGATTCAGCAGAACCTTTAACCTTTCACCAAATTTGAAAACAAACAAATAGACTATATATTTTTCAACTTGTCTTCAGTGGTATCTTGTACCACTGCTGTTTTGAGACGCCACCTCAGTACAATGGAGGTGTATGACAGTGTGCTCTGTGGATTATCCAGAGTAAAAAAGACATGGTTTCTGGAAAGACGCATTGTTAATGGTTTTTTAAAATGGAGCTCTTCAGCGCTGTCGGCACCACAAACACGGACAGTTTCATTCACCTCCTTTGTGTTGGGCTGGAGGCAGAAACAGTATCTCGAAACCTGCTCGCATAAAACCAAAACTACTTACATGGTTTAATATCACTGGAGGTAAGTGAGAAAATATGTAATTTGTAATCAGGGAACAGATCATTAGGCTGGCAATATATATGTTCTTTCATACTGTCTACAGATCCCATGACAAATCCAAACCCAGTGATAGGTTAGTTTGTGTCTCAGTGCTCTCTGACTTCACTACCCTCTGTGTGGCTCAGCCTGAAGACCATGGGTAACTACTGATGATGTAAATCTTTTAAAATGATATAATCTTCTATTTACTACAGGCTAAGTATGTAAAACAGCTGGGCACATATTTTTGATCTGACAGTGATTTTGTCCAGGAGTTATTTTTTTCATTTACTCTTTAGCAAAGCTTACTCAAATAGGAGTGCATAGTGTAGTCTTTGGGGACTATTTTCAGCTGCAGATTAATACATTTACTAGTGAATATTTATGGCAGCAGACAGTGTGTGAGGAGTTGACCTAAAATAAACTACAATGTAAACAAGGTCTTTGTTGTAATGAAGGAATATATCATCCAACGGTTTTTGGACAGCAACGCAGCTTTCTGACACTGAGGAATAATATAAATCAGGCTTTGGCTACACAGACAATACTTGTTAATAAGACCAGTTCCTTGTTGGTTTTGGTCTTTTCATGGGATTTGAAAAAAGTTCACCACACATATCCTTCAACCATCTTTTTAAAATTATTTTCTATCTCTGAATATCATCTGCATATTTTCACCTTTTCCCAGTCCTAACCTTTTCTTTCGCCTTTATCTCCCCTCACCCTGTCTATTCTTTACTCCCTCTTTCTCCGCCTCTCTCCCTACTCCTTCCTCTGCCTCCCTTTGGAGATTAATTTCACACTCCATTATCAGTCAGAGTCCCTGCAGACACAAACTCACAGACGGAACCACGCTAATAGACTACACACTCGATTCCAATGAGCTTTCCCACCAGGCCTAACATATTTCAGTCAATACAAACACATGCACATATGCAAACGCACACACATGCACGCCATTTCACCATTTGCGTTAACCTTACTATATTTTTACAAGACAAGAAAAGTAAATGAGACTGGGTGATGTAAATGTCATCAAGCGTCACATTATGGCCTGCTGAGGTGGGAGGAGTGGGTACCACTTTCTCTCTCTCACACACACACTTTCTCACACACACACACACACACACACTTACAACTTGACAAAATGAGAAGGAACTACAATGAAGGCCACTGGCAGTTACTTAACAAACTTAAAAGTCAATGATTTTTCAATAAGTCTTCACCCAAGGCTAATTTCTGTCACCGGAATTGGCACTGTGAATAGTGTGACATGCATGCCTGCAAAGTACATGTTGGTGCAGGGATATGTGACTGCATGCCCTTTACAGCGATCACCGTGGAGCCTGAATAAGCTCCCACCTCTGATGTAACGTTTCCATTTCCTCCTTTTCAATGGAAGAATGTATTTCAGTTTTTCTGGCTTTTAGAATCCACTTACTGTCAGAAGCTCCATCCTGCCTGCCAGTACAAAGTGAACCGATCCATCAGTTCAATGCGAGACCCCTCAATATGTCACCTTCATCAGTTTGTAAAAGACTAATGATTGGATGTCACTTTCAAGGAGACTGGGAGAGACAAAATGGTTGGATGACTAATTATTCCTCTTTTTTCCTGGGTGATAACACTTTATTTATGAGTAAACAGGAGCAAATGCATTAGCTACTGAGCCAACGATACAACACGCTCTGGTTTTGGCCGGTGTAACCTTCTGCTGTTGTTCAAAATCTGTTCAACAATAGCAAAATGTAATCTCTTTCGCTCTCTTTCTGCCTGTCTGCTGGAACTAGCATGGAAGAACACACATCAGGGTTTTGGCTTCCTCTAAAAGCATCAGCCATTAAAAGTAGATATCTTTCCAATCGCTTTGGCACCTGCATAACCTCTCGGTGCTCAGTGAGATGGGACTGTGGTTAAAAGAAAATCTATTGTAATCCCTACTGTCCTCTTCCCGCTATTACATCCTTTATCCCGTTCCCCTGATTGGAAGTGAGAACTGTACGCGTGGGTATGAGATAAGAGACAAAGAAAGAGTGTGAGCGTGTCAGTCAGAGGGAGAAAAAACAGGAGTGAAGGAGGTGGGAAGAGCGAACAAAACAATGGGAAAGGGACTAAGAGAGCGGGAGAGAGCAAATGTTAGTAGTGTGCAGTCATCACTCCTCCCCTCGTACGATGTTCTATAAAACAAACGAGGCCTGGCTCCTGTAATTACACTGGTGCGATGGACAGAAGAGAGAAAATGGCACACCATTCCCCCCAAATGAACTGTCATAGCACATGCTGAGAAGGGCGGCGTAGGCAGGGCATGAGTTATCACTGGTAAACAAACAGAGGCAGCCATGCATGTACACAGAAGACACTCTGGGGAGTTTGTGTGTGTCTGTGGCGTGGATCTGCATATACCCGTACTCCGTGTGTGTGATTGTGATTGTGTTTGTGCGTGTCGTACCTTTCTGTCCACACAGGCCACTGAGCGCCCAGCCATACGGTTGGCCACGTCTCTGTGTTCGTTAATGTCATCGTTCAGTAGGTCTTCAAAGCGTCCATTACGGAACTTAAACAGCTTGTCAGAATATGTTGCCCGACCTTGATGCGGAGAGACGTTCAGGAGAGTTCAAAAGAGGCGAAGATTGTGCGGAGAGTAAAGAGTTATTATGCAATGCAAGAACTGTGGAAGATTGGAAACACAAGAGCAGGCTGCTGTGGCTGAAAGTGAGGAATGTGATGCAGGAGTTTTTATAAAAATGATAGAGGTGAGGTGTTGCAGTTTTGGCAGTGTGCGCTCTCTAGCTCTCAGATTGATTAATAGCAGCACAAAGCTTGTCTGTTATCTGATGAAGACTCAGATGAGATAAGCTTAATATCTGCATACTGATTCTCCTGCTTTGTCTCTGTACAAGAAAAGACTTATAATCCCTTTGTGAGTGTGCACATGATGCATCTATATATTTTTTATTCACAGAAGTATATCAGCTTGTACTGTACCAGAGAAGGCGTTATTGGTGTTGAGCACATAAATCTCCTCCCGACCGTCTCCGTCGATGTCACACGCTGTCACTCCGATGGCGTTGCCTTGTCGGTCTCTCAGGGCATAGAAAGGGGAGCTGCGGTTGTCAACAGCGATGTTGACAAGCCTCTTCCTCTGCTTGTCGTACTTCAGCACCAGATTTGGGCCGTTGTAGCTGTCAGCAGACACCAATAGCAAGATGTTATGTGTTCTTTTCGTAAGACTGTGAGCAAGAATTGTAAAGCCTAAATCATGCAGTGCCATTTGTATTCTCCAAGTCATGCGTATTAACTAATGATGCTGCCTAAAAAAGCCTGAAAACAATTTTACGATGCTTCATTTATTGATGAACTCACCCAACTGTTATGCAGAATTTTGTAAAACTGGATTTTAAAGCCCCTGAAAATTTCAGAAAAACCTGATTTAAAATCTTCAAAGTCTGTTTTAGGTCTTGGGGAGTGGGGGTGGGGGGTGGGGGGGTGTTGGTTGAGGCTGAAGACAACAAGTTTGAAAATGAAAAAAAAAAAAAAATCCTGGGTATGGCCTTAGAAAGAAGTGAGCTTACCCAACCTGAGGTTAGAGGCTTTAGGCTACATTTGCAGCTACTAGCATACATGTTGCTAAATTGCTAAATCCTGATTGGTGCTCAGACTTACATTACATCCCCCTTTGTGTGAGTCACAGTGAGAGGACAACAGACAAAAAACAAAATGCTTATGGAAAATGTCTCGATTTGAAATTAATAAAACAGTTTGAACTTTGGCAGAAAATGTAGTATTCATAGAGGACCACAAAATGTACAGTAAGATATTAAGTGTTTTTTTTATAATCAGTATTGACACAGCTATCACCTGATATTGACTATTAATTCTCAGTTCTCTTCAGGGTCCCACTTGAATCAATCATCCTGTTATTGCAACAGGTGAGAGTGAAGCAACATGTTCAAAATCAATATTTAGGTTGAAAAAACCCAGAAATATTTTGATATACAAACTTACAAAAGCTTTTGAAACTGTGCTCTCGGGGATATGTTTGGGGTGACATGATAATGACGGTAAACGTGACACAGAAAAGAGGAGGGAAAAAATCTCATCTTCTCTGTTCTGACCGCAGAAGTCAGAAGTGGTACCACTGTGACTTTATGTGACTTGTCCCATCTTCATCTATTGTATAATAGTCTAATTTGAATATTGAAATCAAATACCAAGCTATACTTAAGTGCCAAAGGTCAACAACAGCAGTATATTAAACTGAACCTCTCCATCCTCACATTTTTCTAACCCTCCAATGAAATGACATCCTCTGAACGGTTTTGTGATGCCCTCCTGTCCAGCATACCTGCTGAATATGATGGCTTGGCTAAATTACATTTATTAAGCAGGGTCATTTTGGTGCATCCATATTCTGTTAAGCACTGAGAAATTCATTGCTGCTTCGCTGGGTAGAGGCAGGCTTGCCAAACTGCTCCCATCAATGGCACTCTATCCAATCACATCTATTTTCATCAGCTGAGTGAGCCTCCGGGCACCCTTACCATCTCCCGTCTTTTAGTCTTTTGCCTTTGCCTTCAACCTTTAGCTTGGAAAATGACACTGCACTTTTGTTTTACAATTAGCTATTCTCTCAGCAGTTCATTAGTTGCTCTACCTGTGTATAATGAAAAAAAACTTGAGCACTTGTAACGCATTCGGAAGAGCAAGCGTTTCTCACCCAGCTACAAATATCTCCAGGTCTCCATCCCCATCCACATCAGTGACGGCCACTCCGTAGTTGAGCTGGGTGGGGTTGTTGTCGTAGTCAGGAGCAAGGACGGTCTTCGTTATAGCTGAGAACATGGGCTCTGATCGCTGAGCCGAGGAGTGCGCAGGCAGGAACAAAACCAGCCACAGCAACATCCTCACCTGAAGGGAAAAACACACCGCTGAAACAAGAGCTGAGATTGAGGAAGGCTATCATCATGTTGTACGTCTTGTTTATATCCCCCCCAAAAAAAACTGCCACTTCCGCATCCTTCAAAAAATGTATTCACTTCGCACTAAAAAGCAGAACAATGCTACTTGATCACTGTAGAAAAACACACATGAGGTACAATTTGCGTCCTACCCTCTGCAACTGCACTACAGCGCACAGTTGTCCTGGCAGTTGAGGCAAATGAAAATCAAATAAAAAACCTTAAGTCATACACTGTCTTGCAAGCTGCAACTCCTGTCGTTGTTGTTAATTCTCCAAATCCATTGCGAGGCAAACATCAGTGTGTTGTTGGCAGAGCTCTCTGCTATACTCAGACATAAGATGAAGATATACCACTGCAATCAGCAGCATTCTGCAGGCTTAGATATGAACAACCGATCACATGCAGACAGGCTCAGGAATTACAGGACAGAAAATCCATACATGGAGCAGGGCATTAGCCAGAGGCCAAGTGAGCCCGGAGGAAACCAATATGACCTGATATAACAGCTCAGGCTCTGTCCTGAGGGAGGGTGACCAACTCCAAATTGGGAAAGCTTTTTTGGATAAAAGGACTGTGTGATGTATAAGTGTCCTTTCAGTGGTCAGTAGATAAAAGGTGAACGTAGACGAATTGATTCAATTGACTTGTGAAGTGCAGGCAGGTAGCGGTGGAGGTTCTGATGCTCAGACTGAAAAGAGAGAAGAGAAACATGACTGAGGGGAGAAAGGGAAGCGGAAGGTCACCTCCTTAAGGCTAAAATAAAACACTCATCATCAACAACACTGCAAAACTTTACACAAACAACACACACGAACACAAACTAAAGGGTATTTACAAGCTGACAACTTGATTTGCACTGCCTGTGGATTTATGGACGTAGCCTTCATCATAGCGCTCATTCCATCTGTAATGCCATTGAGCCATTCCCATCTCTGCCTCCGTGCTGCCGCTGATTCTCCCTTTCTGCTCCGCGTGTCCAGGTGATGTATGGCTCTTTAACATCTCCCTCAACAATTCAATTTAAGATAAAAACCACATTGCTGTTTGAATGATACTCTCAAAAGCACATCGGTAGGGGGAGGAAGCACCTCTGCTGACACCTGCAGAAATATGGCCAGGGCTAATGCTAGCTCCCCAAGGCAGGCGGCGCGGCGATAACCCTGGCTGGAGAGCTGCTGGCGATGTAGACTGTGGCTGTTAGCAACAAGGGTTAATTAACAACACTGCGAGCTCATGATAAAGCAGTTTCTTCCCATTAGGAGCAGGATGTAATGACAAATGAGCTGAGCAGTTTCAGACTCCAGAAGGCAGCTTTACACACTTGCTCATATACTCCATGTTAGATAGGGCCAGTGAGCTTTAAATTAAAAAGAGGAGGAAAAGGGAACTTGAAAAGTAAAAAGAAAAGTGATACAATCTTTTGTAATATCTTTTAAGGTGAAGATGCACTTGAAGAATCCTTTTAAAACAAATGATTAGAAGACAAAACAACTACCTTTAGGCACTACTTGTGGGCAGCTGAGCTTGAATGTCCATACAAATGAGGATAAAATGTAAGAAAGGGCTATGCTGCACCAGGACAGCAGCCATAAACATATAGGCCTATATATATATATGTATATATAAATATATATATATATATATATGTATATATCAGTTGAACACCAGTAAGGTGGAAACGAGGAAAAAGTTAAGTATCCCCAATAACTCCATACAAAGTAATATCTAGATAGAGAGAGAGAGAATGATAGGGAGTGTGAGGTGAGAGTTGTGTGTGTGCGTATATGTAAGGTGATAGATAATGTTGCCACCAAGGAGCCTGTGGGAGGCTGGTGTGAATGTGTGTGCCTCGGCCTATGCTCTTGGCAGATGGAGCAGCGTAAACAGTGTTATCTGATCACGTGATCCCTGTGAGGCAACGTCTCTGGGCTTTGACACGCTGCAAGGAGACAGCTTACATATTGTGGCTGAATGTTGCACAGCTTTTGGTAATGGCCTCTTAATGCCGCCATAAATAACCAAATCGAAAACATTTCTCTGCTTCAGACAACATTTTTCCAGACTATTTCATGGTTTACTACAAATGACTTTATTTGATGCTTCCTGTTCTTATAGCGGGACAAGATGGTTGTTGACCCTGCAGATGTTACATCCCAAAACCCCAATGAGTGCATCGGATGTTTTATGAATCTTTGCTTGTAGGAAAAGTCACATTGCAACATTACTTGACGACTCAAGTGGGGTGTCTTGGTTTTACCGCAGTGAATGCGGGGCAAAGCGACTGCATGTCCTTGACTGGATAATGTAGTACAACACCATTTTATCAGCCGGTCCCCAATGGTTTCAACCACTCATCTGTCCTTTCTTTTACCTCCCTCAATCTATTCTA